TATACCTAAAATGTACCAACAAACTTAATGGGGGAAAAAAAACTTATATAGGCAATGCGTTCATGATTTTAAGCTTCTGAAAGCTTCCACATCATGGGCTTTGCCACACAGTGGCCGGGAAGGTAGACTGGGAAGGCTGTCATCCTGTGATTACCAGTCTCCAATCACTGCCGGCTATGACTGTTTTGTGGGCAGGTGAGCCTCTGGGAGGTGAATGCTGGCCCAGGCAGAGCTGGGCCGGGCTTCTGCTCTCCTGCAGCCACTCCCAAGTCTATAGTCATTCTGTGAAGCTGTTTGCACCCTTCAAGGAACAAGAATTGACAATACTATGACTGAGATATGACCCTCTTGACTTGGGGGCTCTTAGCTGGTCAGTTAGATTGGACTATTTTGGGTTTTTTTTTTTTTTTTTTGGTACCTGGGATAGAACTAGGGACTTTGCGCTTTTCAAGGCAGGTGGTGAAACTGCTGAGCTAAATCCCCAGCCCTTCCATTCTTCTATAAATAGATATTCATATGTGGCAAAAATGGTAATTTCAGAAAACAAGTAACCTAGGAGAGAAAACAGATCTTTTTCCTTCTACATCATTGGCTAGGAGATATTCCATCAGACTGCACTGAAGAAAGAGTGATCTCTCATTTTTCACCTTTTCCCAGCAAAGAGGACCTGCTCCCCTAAATGTTTGGAGAGGAATTAGAATCTGTCCATCTTCCTCTGTCCATCTGCTCAGATAAGGTTCAAAGCACAGACTTTCACAAGTGCAGCTACACTGGTTTTTTCAAGGAAAGGGGGACCATCAGACTAACTGTGATCCTTGTTTGAGGATGATGTGGGGCAATGGGTACTACCTTTCAGTGCTGCGGGGGTTACAAGTTCTCTTAAGAACAGTCTGGAAATATTCACCAAGATCACAAATATTTACCTTTGAAATTAGCAGGTTCACTACAGGAATTAACTCTCAGAAGCACAACTCGAGTGAGAAATGAGGGATGTAAGGTCATTCTCTGCACAATGTTTGTAATAAGAGAAGTCTAGAAACAACCTAAGTGTCCATCAACAGGGCCTTCTAAATATATTATGTGCTTCCAAGCTAGGCAATGCAATGCACCCACTGAAAAGAGCGTAATCAATTGCTATATATTGGTATAGAACAATTACTAAGATACATTAATTACTATAACAAAGCAAGGGAGGGGTGATATATCTGCCTAGAAAGGGAGATGGCAAGGGCTAAGGAAAGAAAGACAATAGAGACTTGCATAATTTCAAAGTACATGGCGGGCCACCAGGTCAGTGCATCAGAGCAGGCAAAGACAAAGACACTCCCAGCTTGCCACTGTTTATTGGGTTCATACAATAACTGGAGGGAGTATCAGATGACTCAGAGGGTGGTAGTAATCCTAAATTGATGCACACCTTATGCTGAGAAGACTCTTAGGTCAGTGAGGATCTTATGTTGATAAAACGGTGAGATGAGTAAAACCATTCTTACAACAGTAGGGAGAATGAGTTAAGCTTAATCAGTCCCTCCCCAGGTGAATCCTTTCTCCTTTTCTTTATTACTACTTGGTTCTCAAAGAACCAGGATGTCTTCACCTGATGTAATCGTGCCCTTGAGCATCACAGTATCTTGGGACCATTAAGGCCTCAGCTGTGGCTGGAGGCAAATGAGTTATGTTTCTGCATGCCATAGCCAGCCTGCAGGCAAGAAGACTAGGCCTCAGACACCCCAATCATAATTCAATTATGAGACCAGGGATTTAGCTCAGTGGTTCCACCACCTGCCTTGCAAGCGCAAGGTCCCAAGTTTGATCCTCGGTACAAAAAAAAAAATCAACTATGAAATGATTTTCCCCCAAAATTATGTAGAATGGCTCCCAACAGCAATACTTATTTATCAATACAGCTATGTACCACATAATGTTTTGTTAAGTGATGGACTGAATATGGAGTGTAGTCCATCAGATTATGTCACTTAGCAACACCTTAGCCATCTTCGCTTCTACAAGCACACTCTGTGCTGTTCACACAGCAACTAAATAGCCTAGCATCACATTTCTCAGAACGTGCCCCCATCGCTAATCAACACAGGACTGTACCTGAGATATTTCTGGATGGAAGTATAAGAAACTGGAAACAGGACAACTGTTTTATTAGCACACAGGAAGGAAAGGACATTTCCTACTCTATAGTCCTTAGGAAACGTTTTGAATGTTATTATGTCTGCAGGCATTGCATGTCCAAAATAAGTTAACTTTTTGTATGCAAGTTGGTGAGTGGGCCTATAGAAAAGGGAGGCTTTTAAATCTGACGGACACATGGTCTCTGCTTAGAAACAATAGATTAGAAAGGCTGAGAAGGAAGGAAAGTGTTCAGGCCCTGGGCTCATCCCTGCTCACCCTGAGACCTGACTTTCCACAGCAGGACTCGGAGGTGGCCTGCGTGTCCCAGACCCAGGAAGAGAAGCTGGCTGCAGCCCTCAGAATAGAGTTACACAACACCTCATGCCAAGTCCAAAGCCTCCAGGCTGAGATGGAATCCCTACGGGCTCTGGTGAGTGGGTCAAGAGCAGCCCTGGTATTTCTTGTATTAATTTTAACTTCAAACTGTCAAATTCATATAAGTTATACTTTTCAGAGGATCCCCATCCCACAGGGTATGATTTGGGGGCCTGAAATGTCTACAGACTCCGAAGGATCACGAGGTACTGGGTCAGAACAAGTATAGTAGGCACTGTACTGCCCTACCAAAATATCCCCTACTGGCCACTGCTGGAACATTGACTGCTGACACCCACAGCTGCCCCTTTACAGCTACCCCACTTCCCCAGAATTGTCCTCAGCCCAACAGAGGACTCCTGGCCCCAGAAGTCAGACTCCTCCTCTCTGCAGCCCTCAAGCTGTGAGTGATTGACAGGGAGCTTAAAGGCCTAGCCCACTGCTTCAAAGCAAACAGTTCACTTTCCAAAGCTGTAGCTGGTTCCAGTGGAGATTGAATCCTTGCTTCCCACCTTCCATGGTTCTGTCCTCTTCTTTTTCTGAGAAAAAAATCCCTTAATTATTTACAAGGTCCAGGATCCTTGTCTCAGACTGTGCTTCTGGAGAACCCAATCTAACCCACTAGTAAGCTCCTCATACTCACGGTGGTTTGCAGGCATGTCTCTTGCAATTATTTTTGTTGTTGTTGTTGTTGTTGTTAAATTCGTTTATTGGTACATTTTAGGTATACAACACAATTACGTTTCTCACTGGGAATTGTACCTTTACATAATGCATCTTGGTTCTTATTTTTTCCCCATTCCTAGCCCTCCCTTCACTCCCTCCACCCTTCCCTA